GCGGAATTGCAGATGAAACTGTCGTCAGTAAAGTTGATGTCAGCCGGTTGAAATGTTTGAGAGTAATGTGCCGCCAGAAGGTCAGCGGCGTTGCCATCGTTGTTGGTCGGGCCGTTAAGACCTAGCAGTTGAGAAACTCCTGTTTTAGCTTGACGAAGAGAGTCTGCATAACGAAATAGGCTTCTAGGGTTAGAGGCGAATTTGTCCATAAGCTTTGTCTGGTATTGAAGCCTGTCTTCTCTTACAGCCTTCGCGCATATGTTCCTGATATGTTTATATTGTCTATACGCTCCGTCGTTATCAGTTTGTTTGTATTCCGCCCAACAGTGCGTTTTGCGGCTTAGCAGGCGAAGGGTACGGTTCTTGATTACTGTAGGTGGCTTGAAGCTTTTGGGAACCGTTTGAGGAACTGAATGGTTTGTAGCACATAAGAGCGTTTGCAGTAAGAAGTCCCAATGACCGTCCACATGGAGTTGAGGGTGAACATCCCAAACCACCTGTTGTAGATAGTCATGTAGAGCTGGCACATTCAACCGTTTGAAATTCCAACGCGAATTATTGATGCTGACAAAACTGAAGGCTATGACTGCATGATCGATTTTTCCCAGAGGAGACAGGATTGAGAGATTGTCAACTAGGAATTCTTCGTTTGTGAATACACAGTCTAAGCGCGATGGCGTCTGACTGTTTCTCCAACGAGTTGCCGACCTCACATTTTCGTTTTTGTTTATTGAGACCTTCTCAATGGAAGAAGAATTTTCTTCACAATGGGAGGGTATCATTTCGTTATGTATCTGTGATATATGAAGACTTACAAGTCTCCCTCTAAATGTTAAACTAATTTTCAGAGGTAAGTTCCAGAAACTAGGGTACTGGGTAGGTCGTCAGTAAACCGAATTGAAAGTCTTTAAAGCATGGGATTCTGATTTCGTGTATAATCCTCAATTTATAATAGCTTCATTTAATCTGGTACAGGTATACCAAAATGTGACTTGCAGAATTTCGTGACTATCGATTATGTAATTAAAGTCTGACAATTTTGTTCTTTACATCCTGATCAATTAAAACTAATAAAAAATTCCAGGACGGTAGCCACTTTGCTTTTTACTGGGTGGTTGCCTTTAGCATCAATATTATGTTGTACAAAATCCCGGCGGTCGGTTCTAATATAAAATTTCTAGATGTTTACGGTGATGCCGTGTTTCTGGATGCATTTGAAAACAAGGTCTAGATGCTGAATATGCGCATCTTCATCAGAAATACGATCAACCTGTCTTCAGCAAACGTATGCATGACATTCAAACCACTGAATGTGTCATAGGCCAGTCTTCGCAGGTTGTGTACCATTTCACAAACGGAAAGACGCGGGCAAAGACCCATGAAGTTCGTAAGAAATGATGAAAGCTGCTTAAGGAATGTTACCTTAAGTAATAAAACTTTTTATGTTCTCTAAAGTGATGGACCTTTAAAAAAACAGCTTCCCTTCCTGGGGTATCTGTAGGCTCGTGGATATCTAACAAAAAGAGCTATAGGGATTAGTAATAGGTCACCTACAGTTACCAGTCGGATGCCATTCATTGCAGTCAGATTCAAGGACCATGTCCAAGGTAAAGCCGATGAGCTGTAAAGTGTCTAGTTAATTCCTAGGTTCATCAAAATGTCACTTGACCATGGTGTGTTACCTATGGACTGGAAGGACGCAATCGTCACTCCCATACATAAAACTGGTCTACGACAAGTTCCATCAAATTACAGACCCGTAAGCCTCACCAGTGTTGTAATTAAAATACTGGAAAGGATAATCAAACGGACCATAACAGCATTTATGGAAACCAATAACTTGCTGAACATGGCACAACATGGTCTATCCTGTATAACGAACCTCCTTATAGCTAGGGAGCTCTGGATTAATGCGATAGACAACGGAAACTCTGTAGATGTTGTCTACATAGACTTCAGTAAGGCTTTTGACAAGGTGCCAACTAATAGACTGCTATTGAAGTTGGCAAACCTTGGTATTGCCGGACCTCTTTTAAAATGGATTAAGAATTTCCTAGTAGGTCGTAGGCAAATAGTAAGAATAAATTCCAAGTGCTCCATCTGGAGACCAGTACTTAGTGGAGTACCCCAAGGTTCCGTCCTAGGTCCTTTACTTTTTATAATGTACGTTAATGATCTTACAAGTATAGTACAGTCTCCAATGTTATTATACGCTGACGATGTAAAAATTTGGCGAGTTATAACTGGAGACAAAGACGCATTTACTCTTCAGGCGGACTTAAATAATATGATAAACTGGTCTAAAGAGTGGCTAATGCCTATCAACTCGGAAATGTGTGTCTACATGCACTTGGGGGATTCAAAGGTTAATACGTACAACATAGGGGATGTCATTACCCGTAGTCCGGTCTCATAAGGACCTAGTGGTGACAGTGAGCAATGATCTTAAGACGACGGCCCGTTGCCGGGAGGTCGCAGTTAAGGGGTTTCGAACCCTCTGGGCTTTAAAAAGGACATTCACTAAGCTTGATACTACCATGTTCACTACATTATACACATCCTTAGTGAGAACTAAGTTAGAGAACTGTGTTCAGGCTGCAAGCCCCTGTTTAAAAGGTGACTCAGACATACTAGAAAAGGTACAGAGGGCAGCTACGCGTGCAATTCCGGAACTCCGGGGTTTATCATATAAAGAGCGGCTTGAAAAACTGAACCTCTTTACTCTGTCCTATCGCAGACTAAGGGGAAATCTAATATCGATGTACAGAATACTGAGAAATGATTTCGGACCTAACTTATTCTCTCTCTTTCTTCCCACTAGATCGGGACACCTCAGAGGACATAGCAGGCGAGTAGAAAAGCCAAGAACGAACAAAATACCCGTGGCATACAGGTTTTCACACCGAGTCATCAATACTTGGAACCTGCTGCCTGAAGCAGTGGTATCCGCACCTTCCATTGACTCTTTCAAGAGAAGACTGGACACTCACAGAAGCATACTAGAAAAGGAATAACATAGGCCGAAGGCCTTCTGTCCTTACTACACAAATCTGAATCTGAATCATGTCCACAAGTTTGCTTTTGTCCAACATACACTTTTTTGCAGTTGGCCGATGCCTTTTCGGTAGTGCAGGTGTTCCTGTTGCCACGATTCGTCGTGCTATAGGATCATCATCCATTTCGACATTCGTCAACTTATCCTTTCTGCTATAACATCAGACTTACTTAATCTAAATGACATAAGTGGACGGCACAACATTGTGCTGACTCGTACTCTCATGACAATCAAGAATATGGCGTCCAACACTTTCAAAGAACACATTTGACACAATGAGCATGACATTTTCATTGATTGCTGCGTCTATCATAATTACTAACATTCACTTGGCGTTAGGTGTGAATCTTCACAATTGTTTCAACTTGGCGGACCAATTTAACCCAAGGCGTTAACCCAGTTAAATAATAAGTCGGAGATAAATGAGTCCAAAATGCATTTAGGTCACCAGTAAGTTGAGAAGAATCGTATTTAAAGGGACGAGTAGATGCAAGGTATATGTAACATGCGTTACGACTCGTAATCTAATGTGGATAGGTGGCCGAGCGCCTCCAGGTTATGTGTCAAGTAAAATTAACGAATCCAGCACGAAATATTTTGTAAATTTACGCATCGCCAAATGCCCTCTTTCATTTTGATATGTTCAGAATAGCCAAAGTCATACGCTGAATCCTTGATTCTCGAGATAATGACCAATGGTTACACCCAACATGACATTTGAGGCGTATAGAACTGGGAAGACATTGATTTTCTTGTTCAGTGTAACTCTATTCAGACAGCTTATTTTATTGTTAATAACGAACTCCTGTTGGTCAACATTTACTACTTTCTCAACATGGATTTCTGATACATCTGAAGCTTATGCAACCATTACATACTGATAACTAACAGGCTCTACAGTTGTTCACAGTTCACCAAAGAAACATAACTACTTCGTTCAACTCAGCATATATTATGCCTTAGTAAGTTATTACATATAATCTTTGATGGATTACAAATTATAAGCAAGTCTTATTCCACTTGATAGAACACAAGGATTCCTGGGACTCAAAGTGACCAACTTTTGAGCAATCGCTAATCAGTCACATAGAGCAGCCTTTATGTCATCTTGGATTCGAAAAATACACACTACGCCAGGACTACTTACTAAGCATCGGCTGAACTTAGTATTTGAACAACAAACTGCAAGCTGAACGCGAATGCACCAAGTATTTCGACTAGCTTGAAAATATCGATGTGTTAAGCTAACCACTTTCCAAACCATCGATTTCAACTGGTAATGCGATTTAGATTGTGAGACTGATGTTCCGAACGAGACCTTTTTTTTGACTGAATAATCACTTATTTGTAATTAACCCTCACCGCGAAACCAAATTGCTAAGGACAGATTTGATGATGTCTTTACATTTAACTAAGAGCAAAATGAGGCGACGCCCTCCATGTTGAAAACTGCCAAATGGAAACCAAGAAACATCGACTCCAGCGTAAATCGCTTGCGTTCATGGTTGGAATGACTCCTGTATAGTCAACTAGTTGAAAAATTTTTTCAACGGAAGACTGACTATATTGAGAGAAATAGCGATGTGACAGACAACAGCACTAATGCGGAGATTTACACAACTTGCATCAAGGTAATTTTGTAAAACCCCTCAACTAGGACCTAAATTTAAGCCTCCTTACACACATGAACTAAAGCTTTCCAGAATGTGAGCTTGATGGCTATAAATATTGCTGCTATTGTTTTAGAAAAATGAAGTAATTGACAAGTATTCATTCTCAAGAAGTAATCCTCACTTTCAAATTCGAAAGTGCTTTAACTGGTTGAATTTGATCTTAACGTTGGGACAGTAGTTTATCATTTCGAGACGGAATTGGTATGCTTGCGAGTCAACAACCCGGACGAACCCCCCAAAAAAGATTAATAATACTTCGAAATCTAGAAAATATGGGAGCACAATGAGTTTATATTTATGAACAAGCATGTTGTTACGGAAACACAAACAGCCTTACATATCGGAGAAATGAGGACTCTTGATTACACACTAGAAAAGAAGTGACAAAACGAATGACCGCTCAAATAATGAACTTTGATTAAAACACTATGCTACTTGCCTAACTTAGCACCTCTATACATACAGCCACTAATTTTGTTCGATCTCAAGCGACTGACTCGAAATTTGCATTTATCGGCGAAGAAATTCGTCTATTGCCCAATTATCATATATTAGGTTTGTATGTTAATAGTTGGTGGAACAGATATGTGAAACAATATTGAATGGTCTAAATGACTCACAGATCATAAAAAGAAATAACCAGTTGAAGAAAGTCCGGGGTTATTGCACATTTGTATAAAAACAGGTAAGAAAGTACTACAATTACTACGATACCTGAACAACATTATGTAGAAATTTATGTCCACTGTCACAAGTTACTAAGTTTCCAAGAACAATATACTGAGCGAAATATGTGTGTAACAACTGACCATTTACAAGAGGAAAACAAATTTTAGGAGCATTTATAGTAAGTCAAATTTTGAATTTTAAAGTTGACTATGGTTAACCAAGCTTGAAAGGAAGCACAATTGAAAATAATCACGTAATTAGAAGTATCAACTTTGTTAAGTATAGAAATGTAAGTGAAATATGATGTATAGATTGTTCACAGAATGAACGAATCGGAAGATTTTGATATAAATATAAAGTGTTTACTAAACGCTAGATAAATCAACATCCGACCAGCCACTGGGCATCAGGAGCCATACGAACTTCTGTGTCAAATTATCAAGATTTAAGTAGTCAACTAAAGTGACTTATAGGATTTGAGTTATAAACAGTCATTCATTAACTATCTAAGCAGCAGAAACAACTTCACAAATATATCTGCAAATCATATACGCAGCAAACAGAACAAAACCAAAATTTAAACAGACGAACGAAAGTGTAAGGACTTGAATCAATGCATTCGTCAACTAATCAACCATAAAAAGGGACCAGGCAATCCAGCCAGTTCAATGACAAAGTTAGCAGTCATTATCAGTAACCGTAACTTACTTCTTTAATCACTAAGTATCTACTCCATAACTTTTTGATTTATGGCAACCCACTATTTGTTACCCTTAATGATTATCGTTGGAAGTTAGAGATATTACTCTTAGACAGTATTTACAAAAATACTATTACCTACACAGGAAGTTTTCAGGATTACCTCCGTCTTATTGAGTGAGCTCTGATAGCCTGTTTTAGAAACACCAAAATGTACCAACATATTTTTTGATGCTTTCATTACACAGCACAGCTTTCTGAAACGTGGCAGCACCAGAATTCACATGTCAAACAGTCTGATCACTCATATCTCAACATTATGTACCATAACTTTCATACAGAGTACACGAATAACATCGCACGATTGACACCAATATGCAAAGAAACACGCAAGCTTTTGACTCACTACTAACAGTCGTACAATAGAAGTACATCTACCCTTGAGGAATCACTGATTTACAACACACTGACCCAAACAAATACACAGTTGCTTGAATAATGAAAAACCAATTCTTTTACCAACAAATTGACATAACCCATTTAGTTCAGGCAAGTGATACAAAGCAAAGACTCAATGGAGCCAAAATTAAGGAGGAAGTAAGAAATGCAGGAGTTGAGTATTGAATACTTTGAATCCATTCATCGTGTTAAAGTGCCTAAAAAGAAATCCAAACAGGAAATACAGGTTGTCAGAAAAGAATAAATGTGGAATACTCATGAAGTAAAAGTTAGATACGTCATTGAGTGTGATAGCATTCACTTAATGATTAATCATGATTTATTTCAGACATAATTAGTAACTCTCGATTTAATAAAAAAAGACATAATAATCGGAGGCGAGCGACAATGAAAAGAAACATATTATCCAATCAGCATCAGTGGAGGTTTTTTAAAAAGCATTACCAATCGTAATGTGTTTAGATGGGTTCCAGAACTTTCCAGCAGCTCAAAGTTATCTAACATTCTATAAATACCCTAGATTTTCTGTACATAAACTAAACTTGGAGTAAAGCGTTCTTTCCATATTTCATGACTTTTGTCTTATGTTCAAGTTGACGTGTCGATCTACCCTAGGGGTTACTAGAAGAGCCTAGGGAACATCAGAAGATTTATCAGTAATATTTGCTGGATCAACTTGATTTAGCAGTAAATAGAGCTTAAAATTTCTAGACACTGAAATTCCATTTAGTGACGATCTGAGAACGCGAATTTTGGGAAGGATCGATTAAGATCCGAACATAAGACTGCACAACTCTGCCTGTAGCTGTTATAAGACTACAGACAGTCTCGAGTCTGGGTAGAGCAGGACGGCGAATTATGAGGGGGGACATTTACTTATTTGAACGCATAAATATTGGTACAAGGGGGTACCAAATATGTGTGGGGCCAGCATCCGTATCCTGTAGGAAACAACCCTTCTAAAAAACACCAACCAGAACAAATTAAATTCTGCCCTGTGAGTTGAAAAAAATGATGAAAGCCGAAATTCTTTGGAAGTCACAAGGACGATGCCCCTTCTCGGTCTGGTCCCTAGATGGTCGCTAGACATTTGTGTCAGTTTATTATATGGTTAGCTACTTAATGTCTAGTAGATAGGCAAAACCCAACGTTACAAAACAGTTATAAGTTTATTCTTTTTACAATGTACTTATCAATGCTGCTACTTTCCTGATTAGTGAGATTTAGCATAAAATATGATTACATCAATGTACACTATTCCCTGCCAGGAGATCAAACGAGTATTTTACAATAAAAGCGATGGGCCGGCAAACCCTTGAAAAATTCAAGGCGTTTCAGAATCGCTCTTCATTACATTTCGGAATGATAATAAGAATTAAACTAAATAAGTGTACTAATTAGGAACCACGTGAATAGCTAACTATAAATATGAGGCCCATTAAAATTAAAACCATTATAATGAGTTACACAGTTTGATGTACGGCAATACAAGAAGGACTGACTCGATACTTGGTTAATAAATGTTTTTGCAATTTGTAAGAATTAATATTAAGAGGAAATTTTAGGTTGAGTAAATTTGCAAACTTTCTTCAAAAAAGACATCAACTGAGTGATTAGAGCGCTTTATTCTTAATTTCGGGTCAGTGGGGTTAGAATTCATCTACTTGGGTCTAAATACTTAAACAGTATCATATCAGCATTACAGAAAAGTGAAAATGAGAAATCAACATAATTTAATATGGATTTTAATATTTGGAAATATATACGGTGGCAAAATGATGAGACCACAAAAAGCGAAGCCTTTATATTAAGGAAAGATATGGACTAAATGTGATAATTGGAGGGTGTGAAGTAAAAACAAACTTTCGAAAAAACTAATGTTACAATTTAACGATTAGTAAAATCTGAATTCTAATTAGATTTTTCTGCACACGCAGGTTTAATCTGTTGATATTTTTTTCTTTTCAGATACTATTAATACAAATGTCCCCGTCTATGAGCACTAGAGTACTTAGGACTAAAAAACTTCAGTAACTTGAATGTTCTAGTATTTTATTTATTTTACAAAATCTGCGTACTTCATTTTCACCTACTTATACGATGAACTGTGTTACAATCAGTCAGTCACAACGTAGAACTTCGTACGTACGTACATCGGTTCGCGTTGACACACCACATTAGCACAGGGATGCAGTTATCGACTCAAATTTCGTAGTGGTAGTAAGAGTATAAGCAGTAATCCGAAAGATTAGAGTTTGAAGATGTTATTCAAGGAGTATGATTTAGTGAATTAAATTTTGAAAAAAATAAAGGACATGAAGAATCCAGAAGATTAGAATTTGGGAGAACACAAAAAGTGGATTCACCTCCGCCATTGCAAACCATTTTGAGCCATGTCATTCAACGTCTCTAACCATCGGTTGCTATCATCTCGCGGTTCCCAACCAGGTAGTCTACACCTACCAATATGACTCAGTTCACTTGTCAGTGATTTCATGGACTTGTGCCATGTTTTGGTCTGGCCGACCCTAGCTTTCTTCCAACCTTCTCCTATACCACTGAACATAGCACATCGAGGCAGTCGGTCGTTGGGCATACGTAACACGTGTCCCAGCCATCTCAACTGATGAAGTTTCACTACGTCATCAATTGATTTGCCATCCTTACCTAGTACCGGTTTCCTAACAACTGCATTACTTACTCGATGGTCCCATGATATACGAGCAATGTTTCGAAGACACCTATGATCGAATACTAGTAACCTATGAATATCCTCTACTCTTACCGGCCATGTTTCACTGCCACAAAGTAGGACGGGACGAACTGCTGCGCAGTAAACCCGTCCTTTGGTTGATAGACGGATATCTCTCCTATGCCATAAATGACGCAAGTTGGCAAAAGCTAGTCGAGCCTTCTGTATCCGTGCTGAGATGTGGTCACACACCAGACCACAAGGGCTGATGAGACTTCCAAGATAAGTGAAGCGATCGACACGCTCAATTACTTCACTCTCTATCATTAGCTCGGGTGTCGATGTAACCCAATCCTGAAGCAACATTTTGCATTTCGAGGGGGAGAATCGCATCCCAAACATGCTTGCATTGTTGCTTAGAGTGGTCAGAAGACTCTGCATTTTGTCAGCGTCTTCATCAAATAAAACTATGTCATCAGCATATTCTAAGTCAACAAGTGAACCTCCCTGTAGAAGTTCAACCCCTGGAAATTTAGATGAGGAGAGTGTTATCTCTAAAAGTACGCCAATGACAAAGTTGAACAAGAATGGGGAGAGTGGACAGCCCTGACGAACACCACTTGAGGTGATCAATTTTGATGACAGTTCGCCATAAGCTCTCACTCTACCAGTTGTGTTCGAGTAGAGAGCCTTTATAAGGTTAATGTACTTCTTTGGTACTCCTTTCAGTGACAAACACTGCCATAGAACCTCACGATGAACAGAGTCGAATGCCGCCTTAAGGTCGAGAAATACTACCATTGTGGGGCGTCTGAATGAGTGTCTGTGTTCTAGAACCTGACGTAGTGTGAATATCTGATCTATACAACCACGTCCAGGTCGAAAACCGGCCTGGTTTTCTCTAATCTGCTCTTCACGAGCTGTGATTAGGCGTCGAAGTATTATTGAAGCTAATATTTTAGACACTATATTAGTCAAACTGATTCCTCTGTGATTGTCACAAGAGGACTTTTGTCCTTTCTTATAGACTGGCACAATCAGTGATTGAGACCAGTCAGATGGGATTACGTCCAGTTCCCGAATTCTACCTAAGACCTCAGTTAATCTCATTGCTAATACTGGACCACCATCCTTAAAAATCTCAGGAGTAAACCTGTCACGGCCTGCTGCTCTCCCTTGTTTCAGATTTCCTATGGCTTTTTCAACTTCGTAAAGAGTGGGAGGACCTACATTAACTTGCCATTCAGGTTGACTAGAGATCGTGGGAAACCGAAGTGTGGCTGAAGGCCAGTTGAACTGATCCCTAAAGTGTTCTGCCCATCGATCCAATCTCCTGGATTGAGAATGAATAATATGTCCATCTTTCTCTGAGATTGTTTCGCTAACGGTCGGGTTCCTAATTCCGGTTTTCTTTAACGAGTCTGAACAATTGTCTGCTATTACCTATTGCCGCTGCCTTTTCCATCTCTCCTGCTTTCGCTACCCACCACTGTTCGTGATCATTGCGTAGACTTTTTGTCAGCTTACGCTTAAGCTGACTCCGCTCTTCATTATGTTCAGAGCCAGGTGGAATGAGTTTCCGAGCATCTATCAGTGAGATAGATGCTGCTGAGATCCAGTGTTGCTCCCTAACATTCTGGTTTACCTTACTAGCAGATACCACTGCTGTTTCCACAGCTTTTCGGATATCATTCCATGTGGCATCGGGGTGAGCATCACATACATGGTTGCCTAACTGTTTTCCTAGTTGTTCCTGAAATATACTCTTAGCTTGACTATCATTAAGTAGGCCCCTAAGAGGTTTTCTTGCAGCGTCTTTCCGACGTCCAGTAAGACGCAAGCAAATACGCGCTCGCACTAGAGCATGATCTGAATCTAGGCATGTGCTCCAGAATGAGCGACAGTCCTCTATCGAGTCCCTTCATCGGTGGCTGATAGCGATGTGATCTATTTGGGTCCAACGTTGGGACGAATTAGGGGGTCGCCATGTTAAAAGATGTCTTTCCTTATGCTTAAAGTGAGTATTTGCAAGGAACAGGCGGTTATCTGAGCATAGCTGCAACAGACGGTCGCCATTATCTGTTCTTTGAGCCACGACACCATAAGATCCACCTAGGTGTCTTTCCCTATCGCTTAGTTTACCTACTTGAGCATTAAAGTCACCGGCCACTATTACTACATCAGAGCGCCTAGCTTTTCGGAGAACGTCGGAAAGCTTTCTGTAAAGCTCATCTTTGACATCATCTAAGCTGCGGTCAGTGGGAGAATAGGCAGAGACGACGAAGAGGCAACGACAAGTGTCCCTATCTTTTCGGATTCTTACTGTTCCGTTCAGTCGGACAGCGCACAAACGACTGTCTACTGGGATCCACTCTAAGAGAGCTAGTTCTGCCCTAGGACTCAATGCTATACCTACGCCGGCGAGGCCACGGGAAGCAGAATCAGGGCTTCCAGATACACGAAGCGTAAATCGAGTCGGTTCTTTATTTTGGCATGGTGAGGTCAAATGAATGACGCTACTTGGATCCTGTATGCGCGTTTCGGAGACGCAGCACACATCGATGGAGCGAGATTCTAAAAACCTAGCTAAGGAAGCCTGCTGTCCTATTTGGCAAAGTGTTCGTACGTTAAAAGCTCTTACGTGTAGTTTAGAGCGTGGTTTCAGGAGACCAAGAATAGCGTTCCACGTACTTGAATCGTTTGCCCTAGCGGTGCGAGCTGATAAAGAGACGTAAGGAGGGATAGTCATAGAGATAAGAGAGGTATTAGGAGGTGTAGGAAGGATTTGAATGTGACCACCTTGGTCTCGTGTGCTGTTACGGGTATGAGGGCTGATGTCACTTCCCGGCTGCCCACACCGTGGAAGGGTATTTCTTGAGGAACCTGAAAAGGAAATTGGATTAGTGTTGGTCTTGACGACCTGGGAGCGTGACCACAGCGCCCAAGGGACAACTGCTTGAGGCCGGTCGCGCACGGCCTTTTCGTGGGTTTTTTTTGACGTGTTAGCTCCGTTCTTCAAAGGGCCTTACCGCCGGAGACGGAAAACCCTGAGGCAAGGTGAGGTGTGACATTATTAGGGTCGACCTTTTCTAACACCACCCCTCCTTGTGGGAAGGCAGCATCGCTGTCATGCTGGTTGTCCGAGGGAAACACCTTACTGCTGTCACACCTCTGTACAGTCAGCAGTACGACTTCGCCCTCAGACCTTGAGTTGCTGCTTTTAGTCTTACCGTTCACCAATCGATCTGCCTGGCATGGTAGAACCTGCAGGAACATATGTTCCAGCCAATATAGCTCGGTTGGGTCATCACGATAGGCTAGCCCGACCACCGCGTCAAGGTAGCAGCTTCGATCGGGGTTACAATCAGTAATGATTATTATGTCAAATTTAAGTAGAGTATTCATTTGCTGAAAACAGAAAAGAATGAAGAAACTTCATATTACACTTACTGTATGATGAACAAACGAATACTGATGGTAAGTAAAATGTTTTATGAATGAATGATTTTCAAAAGGGTAGGTCTATGGCCAAAAACGATTTCCTCAAATGGTAGCTGAGTAATGACTTACGGTTTTAGTACTCAGCTTTCAACCAACAGGTTTCAGCTTAAGACTTTGGTTTAGTATCATCAGTACACACATACAAAGTGTAGTTTAAAGCTAATTACCTAAAATTCTGTTTGGTAACTGAGTCACATCTCTAATTAAAACAGAAAAAAGATATTATCGCCTAAGTAAAATTTTAACAATGTGAAATGTACTTGCATGAGAATTATGCAGTCCAATATTGGCGAAAGTATATCTAGGTTGGTGTGTTGTCAATTTGTTAGAATGATCTGCAAACAAACTTACACCAGAATTGCCAAGCATAGAAGTATTGCCAGCTCCAGTGGCAGCGCTAACAATGGCGGCTACTACATTCGGATTACTTAAGATATTCATCGTAGCAAGTGCAGCAGAATTTGAAGAATCCACAGATACTCCATTGTATTCTGGTTGCCCATTTGCTGGGGTACCTGAGCTTCGAGTCTATATGGAGATTAGGTATGCAAAAAGTATTTATATAAGATATAGTATATTTGATTGAGTGAAATATAAATCTTACAGCCAATGTGTTTAATTCACTAGGTAACTCAACAAAATCTATACTAAAATCAACAATAAAAATGCCCAACCTAAAACAGAGCGTATGAAACAAACTCAGAACTGACTTGGTGACAGTGATTTTATTTATTTATTTTAACACATAGATATTGAAACAAGAAGGCACCAAATACATATGCGCCACACAAATCTTATTCGATATGTGCGAGGGCTGTGATACTGCCCGGGTGCCCAAACCGAAGCAGGTGATTTTCTTAGGGGGCCACTCCCCGAGCCTTTGACCTATAGGTCTGACCCACAAGGCAGTGGAGCATCGTAAGGAGATGCAGTCCCATGGTAGCCGGTGACCAACGATTGGTTCATACGCCGTTTGTTCCCACAGGATACTGGAGCCCATGTGCACCATCAGTTTGGGATCCGGTTAAAGCGCCGGACATTCGCTTTTCGTCCTCTCATTTTTGTAAATAACACCCCCGCCACGAGAAGGCAGTGAGTAGGACTTCCCTGGCAGAGGCTATATACGCGTGGCCATGTGAGAGCTTTTCGAGAGGGAGAGCGGACTCTTCCCACTCTCGGCCGTACCAGGGCATTTGGGGGCCAGTGAGTGATGAAACAATAGATTCTCCAAAGACAATAACAGTGTCTATTAACTGTACATAACAAAATATAAGTGAATGTAGTGCTTAGCAATTACAGTAGGATGTCATAACCTTCAACTCCATAATATGTCATTAAAATAGGATCATTGACTAACTACAAGTTTTCTTATTATGGACTGACCGATAACTTTCTCTAAACAATAACACAATCAACCTTTATCCTCAATAGTCAGCCAGAAGACAACAGAAGCCGATATACCTTCCGTTCTTCAGACTCAAAACTTCATAGGATTGCATAATTATACAACCACAAATAAGAAATCATAATTGGTGTACACCGAAGTCACACGTGATACAAACTGGGCATTAGGTATATAACTGATCAACGATAATTCCGGGACAGTAAAACAACATTGACAGTTAGTAAGTTAAGTGGAAGCTTATAATTATGACAATAAGAAAATACACGATAACTACACAATAGCAATAGATATAATTCACCACATAGGAGTTTTACGTCTGCTAAATATTTTTTTGACAGAATAAACAGGAAATATGAACTAGGAACGCAACAAGGACATAAACATAATTTGTGCAGTATTTAAAAGTATGTTTCACAATCAAACTATCGCTGAATAGATTTGGTTTGAAAATTTTGAAAACTGAGATCAGTTTTTGGATACGTAAATAAAGATTGCTGCTATCCAACAAGAGCCTCCGAAGTCGGACCAAGCCCTATCAGTGAGCAAATTTATTTTATTTATTTATTTATTTGAACACATAAATATTGGTACAAGAGAGCGCCAAATATATATGCGCCACACAAAACAATGAGAATTCGAAGAGAAATAGAAAAGAAAAGAGAACAACAACGAAGAGATTGGTGTAAGGTAGTGTGGTGAGCAAAGATCACTCACTATAACTACCACGGTGACGCTTTAGTTGTATTTAAGATATTTGTTGTTAGAAACTAATCTTAATATTTGTCAAACTGTTGACTTCCATTCACCCGGCCGTGATTACAAGGAAGCATGGAATTCTACCATTATTTCGTTGCATACAAAAAGATACTTGAATCACTCACTTCGTAAGGTCATATGTACTAATTGTGCAACAAATGTGTGTTACTTAGAGATAAACCGGCTTTTAAGACTTAAAAAAGACTTATATACCTAGATCACACAGTCAAGTGCAAAGTTTTACACAATAGTAAATTCTAATACTGAAAGTACTCACATGATGGACACGAGTATATTCTGCTGCTAAAACAGCAGCTGCTGCTGCAGCTGCTGGATTCATTCCCCCCATTGATCCGTTTCGACTTCCACCTTTACCGGAAGAATGTTGACCTCCATATCGGTTATTTTGAACCATACCTCCATAAGCTGGTGGCCAAGCTATAAAGTAAAAGTGAGTAATTTACAAATGAATTTAACAAATAGTAACTGATTACAAACGCTGAGTGATGATCAACACAAAGGAAAACACACTTATTAATAATTACCTGTGTGATAAAGTTTATTGGTAAAGTTTTGTCATTAAGTACTAGTGTACATAAAAATCAGAAAATCTACCAACTGACGTATAGAAAGATAGAACCACTCCATGTGATTACTGGCAACTGATTTTAATCATGCATACCATAAGGCTAACGTCCCACATTTTAGAGTTCGGACATCATATCAAAGCCCAACTGATAACAGTAAAGCTAAGCAATAATACTGCAAATCCTTTATCGAAAATAGCTAGTTAAGCTACCCGTCTGATCAAAGCAAAGCACATGAAACTAGGTTTGGATCTAAGATAAAATAGCTGAAATTCCAGTGACTCAACCACAAAGCTACTGTTAATCTGGGCTTATTAAGTGAGATACAACACACACTTTGATAAATACTTGTCTAATTTTTGGGGTGTTGTAAACTTAAGCAGAGAAACATCACATGAAAAAAGCAAATGTTTCACAAACTCCGTAACACATGAATACCAGCTACTTTTACTACAGAAATTTATAAGGCGATAAACGAAATCTAAAAAAACAGTAAATGCTTACCACCCCATTGTTGAGTTCCCATCATTGTTGACTGAAGAGCAGCTTGCATCGAGGTAACTGGAATTCGTTGATTATTAGTGTTACTTTGACGGGCGGAAGGAGGGAGTTTGGGGACTGCAGAACCAACGCTTATACGAATACCTTGAATCTCTTGGTCCTTGCCTAACAAAGAAGCTGCAACCTCAGGATCATCGAACGTAATGAAGGCGAACGATCGAAAGGGTTTGGGTATGAAGACATCAGATACCTAAAATAAATTTTTTAGAAAGATTCGTATATTACGTCAAAACGCAGACAATTTATACTAGTGTAAGATAGACGGCGACAATCTTTAGACCAACTGCTTTTGGTGTGGCAACTCGAACTGATGTACGTACGCACGAAGTTCTACGTTGTTATTGATAACTTGACATCACAACGTACTCTCCTAAGTAGTGAGCCAAGACACAAGGTTTAACTCGGCCAGATACCCTTCACTGTCAGCTGAATTATGGAGTTTTGAGAAATAAGTATACTTGTGTAAAGTTCTAGGTTTTTGCATTTAACAGATGGAACCAGATATATATATATATATATATATATATATATATATATATATGGAACAACTTTCAACAAATATCAGTCACAATCTTCAATACGAACGTCAAGACAGTTCTACTGTACGGAGCTGAAACTTCGAGAACTACTACAACCTCCATCAAGAAGGTACAATTATTTATAAATTGTTGTCTTTGCACGATACGCAACATCCATTGGCCGGATACCATCAGCAACAGCCTTCTCTGGGAGAGAACAAACCAGCTTCCAGCTGAAGAAGAAATTAGGAAAAGACGATAGAAATGGATAGGACATACATTACGCAAGTCATCGAACTGCATCACGAGGCAAGCTCTAACTTGGAATGCTGGAGGGAGTCGGAATAGAGGAAGAACAAGGAACACATTGAGTTGGGAACTGGAAGCAGACATCAAAAGAATGAATATATATATATATATATATATATATATATATATATATATATATATATATATATATATATATATATACGTACATCGGTTCGAGTTGCCATACCACATTAGCACAGAGATGCAGTTGTCGATTCAAATCTCGTAGTGCTAGATGTAGTAAAATTATAAGCTGTAATCAGAAAAATTAGGGTTTGAAGATGTTATTCAAGGAGTATAATCCAGTGAAATAAATTTGGAAAGAGAAAAAAAGGGACATGAAGAATTCAGAAGATCAGAATTTGGGAGAACACAAAGAGTGGATCGTTTTAGAAAAATAACTGGAACAATCAATAATACTTTATGTTCATGAAACGAAAAGTTAGGAAGATTTTTCGGAAATATGTACTCACTCTTCCATATTGGGAGAAATGCTGGCGCAGAGTTTCGGGACTAATATCTTCTGTTAATCTTCCAATGTGAACTTTTCGGGAAACTTCTTGACGGTCACCCTCCATCTAAATCACCATTAAGAAAGCATTAATCTTTTATTAAATTATATGTCAAATTAATGAAAAACATCACAACCCACTACATTATACAACCAATCTATAGAAAATAAGATATAACTGAAACCTAGTCAGGAAATTATCAAGATTGTATGGTTTAAGTGTTGGCAGATCAAACACCAGGCAAAAATTAAGGCACGACAATTAGGCTTGATGGGTTAAGACCATCAAGAAACACATTTGGTTAATCAACAAAAAAATGACTAAGAATAGTAAACTAAAGTGAAGAACAGATATACAAAAAGGCACCGGTAACAATTATTTTAATTAAAAACCAGTGTCTATAGTGACAATGATGCAAAAAGTGATGTATTTACTACGTTTAGATACCAGGATAAAACAGTTCACATCTTCCCTGACCACAGTTACTTCAAAACACATCTTGTGAGGAAAAATTATTTGCTAGAGGTCAAGGAAGACTAACCGACATTCGAACTTATTCAATTACATACCGATTACATTTAATGATTATAAACAAGAGAATATTAAACCAAACGAATGCCACATGAACGAAAAATCACACTGATTTAATTGATACAATTAGAGTGCACTAAAAGTCAACTGGACGAAAATCACCTCAAATCAATCTGAATTTTTATTGTGTTAGGATATTAAATGCCCGAACACAACATATTAAGTTAATGAGTGAATTCCGTGCGCTCAGTGGACACCAAGTAAATAAAAGTACAAGTAAAAAAGCCTGGTGATTGTAGGAATTAGCTTTCATTCCCAGGCGTTTTAACAACTTATAGCATCAAATGTGCACATGAAAACAAATCATTGTTCCATGAAAGCCCGAGGTACTTGATTTTAAAGAAACATTTTTCTATTGAAGTCGTAACTTATTACAAGTTCATGTACCTGGATTTGGGTCACGATTTGTGTAGAAAGTAGTGGGAACACCAAGGTCTCCAAACCGTAATAGGCAACCACTTAGCCACCGACCTACTTTTCTACACTAAATATCACAATTCAAAAGAGCTTTGAGGGATGAAAAAATCGTTACCTTTGATATAGGAATGCGAACATCGCACTGTCGATTTTCAATGGTATGTCGTTCAGCTAAACACATAACTTGTGCTGTATAATCAGCGAAGCGGATAAACCCATATCCTTTGCTTTGTTGGGTTACGGGGTCTCGCTTGATCTGTAAAAAATAATAAAGTTTATGGTGCACATGAAAGCCTACAAAAATAATAAATAATCGTTCCATCAATGACTAACATTTCTTAAACATAAACTGACCAGTGAATGTTCTTTGGTTAGAACAGTCTTTCAATTCGTAGCTTCTAATTTTAAAGCAACTAAGAAATATGAAAGATGTCGTCTATACTCAGCTCTACTACGAAATTTACTGCCTTTTGTCGTTAGACGACAAGTGGGGGTGGGCAGTGTTGTAATGGATAACAGCTTAAACTAGGACCTTAAATCGCAACTTACTGCTAGTCGTTAGTCTCAGTGTTAATACCTCATGTTACAGGCTACCGAAATTGCCAAGGATTGTAACTGTCCAAGGTTAGAGAACAGAACTTGGTGGAACCAAAACTTTTAAGGAAGAAAAGTCTCACTCGACTTTCAAAAAATATGGTCATTAGCAAAAAGGCGGAATTTATTTGGTTCATGCGGTTATATGACATCACCAAGTTTGTGGTCAAGTTACATGTGCCATTAATTTTTCCTTATCTGCACGTCCTCCTCGTCTGTAAGTCAAATACGGAACTAATCACGAAAACGTGATTGTACCAATGAAACGCAAAGTTATCTGACGCTGGGGTTGTATAAGTAGTAGAAAAAGAAGAATCAAATACCACAAAGATGGTAAAATTATCATACAAGGAAAAATCAAATCACTGTCAACCATATCACAGTGACAAACAACTTTCAGTAGGGAATCACCACAACGTAATAGTACAATTTGATAAGTACACAGACTGAGAGTGCGTCTACTCTTTCTTGTTCTTCCAAATTCTAATCTTCTGAATTTTTCATGTCCCTTCTCTTTCCAAATTTATTTCACTAAATTATACTCCTTGAATAACATCTTCAAACCCTAATCTTTCTGATTACTAATACTTTTACTACATCTACCACTATGAGATTTTAATCAACGATTGTATCTCTGAGCTAATGCGGTATGGCAACTCGAACTGATATATGTACGTACGAAGTTCTACGTTGATGACTGACTGACCCAGACTGAAGGTGCAGGGGGGTTCTAACATACGATTTAGTTGTTAATTCTTAAGCACTATCAAAGCAACAGAAACCACTTCTAAACAGTTTAACTCATGATACAAAATGGCACACGAAATTGATACATTTCCTAACTTGGTACGTTGGTGCTTGTGTACGTTTGATTATGATACGCAGACCAACAAACTACAAGTTGAAGAGACAATATGCAGCGTACCAATACAGAAATATCGATACCCAACATCTTTAATTCCTAATTCTCGGGGGTTTTGATGCTTTTGTAATTTCAAGTGAAGAAATGGTACGTTTTTAGAACTAAGCATTACATTAAAATCACATTTGGCACCATAAGTGTAATTTTCGCTGAACTGACTCAGATGCTCAGGATGATATTATTAGGGATGCACTACTTAACTAGCTGCTTACATTTTTGGTCAGGGCTAATAACGTTCTGTTAGCTCTAAACGTTGTTAAGAGCTACAGTAACTTTAACATTAAGTTCCATGTTTCTGAGCCTGTTTGTGGGTTTAAGCTTTAACCAACACTTTAGGAATGCAATTTAAGAAGAAACTTAAAACCCACCTGGATCATCACAAGGTCACCATACTGGCTAAAGTAGTCACGTAAAGTCTCTTCATCGGCCCGCCAAGGCAAGTTTAACACTATCAAGTCCGTACATGTTTTTTTATCAAAACGTTTTTGCTTCATTTTGGAATCTAACGAATCTTCATCTGCTTTTCTCTTAGAACCTTGAAAAAAAGCATTGGGAATCACGTACAATGTTATTGCACCTCTAGAAACAAAATAATTTAACATAAATAGGTTTTCTTATTTATGCCGATTGAAGTCCCCACGTTGGTCTTAAGGCTCTCGTACCATTATTATATGCACATATTGATAATCAAATGACCAGTCCCGAAGTTTGCTTTACACATTTAGTCGAAAAGGCCAGATCACTTGTGTTGAAGGCACAAAAGATACCAAATAAAGAAACGTTAGCGATATCTATTTCTGCAATGAAATTATTTTAGACCATTTAGGACATTAATGAACATTACGAACAAATGAATAACAGAATTATATCGTGGTTATCTAACACCTCCATAAGTTCAGACTTTAAACAATTATTTAAGAGCATCTGAAATTTACCGCACTGTTTTTAATGAATAAAATCAACCCTGCCAACTACCAGTTAGTATAATCACTACTTATATTTTCACTTGGACCTCCCATAACAGTATATGGACTAATCGGTATCCAGGGTAACGCTTTAACTGATGACAAAACTGTCGAACAAACGTGGTGTATAGCAGTTTCATATTACTCTAGCAGCTTCACTGTAGCATGAGACCAATACAAATTACTTAAAAGACTAAAGCAGTACTTCAATTATTTAATGATTTATTTGTAAGAATCTTTATTCTAAAATTTTTCCAGGAATAACAGACGTACGTTAATGAATAAATATTAGAGGTTTTCGCCGTTAGATTTGAAAGAAAACGGAAACGCAGTACAGTAGTACCTGACACGCACTACGTTAGAAGGCTAGTGCTTTATATGAAACATCCAAGATATTTAAATGAACGATGAGTCGAGTTTGGCAAGCCCATCACGATAAGCTGAGTTAAACGGAATATTTTGAAGTTTTCGACATATTCGGTTTTTAATAATTTTTAGATAAAGACGTGAGGATGTGTGGTTCTGATGGATACTCCCGGGTTTCAGAGTACAAGAAACTGTGTAAACGGTTGACAATCCTCTTTCACAGTATCTTAACAACAATGTCGGCTGGAAGTGTCCACGAAATCCAGACCACTCGTAAGACGCTAAAGGAATGGACTTCAACACATTTTCAACCAAATGTCAGCGGAGATACACAGCAAACAGGACCACGACTTACCATCTAGGATGTCGAATAGAGGTTTCTACACGGAATTCGACGACAATAGGGAGCATTCACGGTATCTCCCGGCCAGTAGCTCTTGGAGAACAACCGTTAGACGGATTGCCTTACTTAGTGTTGTAATAATCAAAAACCACACGATGTATGAGAGCGTTCTTAATATCTTTGATCATAAGGAGCCTACAGAAGGAATAAGACAAAGATGCCGGTAACTTGGTATGCCAGTTTAAAACCCAGTCATTTTTCCAAACTAAGTCCCATTGTTTGCCAGATATCGAGAGCTTGAACGAGAGGTTTGAGAATACATAGGACATTTCGCCACGAACTATAAAACTTGCAGTAAGTACAATTTAGTTGACGTACATAGCTTAACCTATGTGAGCAACGAGAGAGCTGATTGTTATGTTATCTTAAACAGCGCATCCAGTGACCTGAAGAAGGTAAACTAACACAATAGCTCGAACCAACTGATGCAATCCCTAGACCACACCCAATCTCCGGGCTCTGGGGAAATTGTGATTTCGTGGTATTTCAAAAAATCGAACAAAAATCCGTAGTCTTACCCAAAGAATAGGGAAATTTAGGGGAAAAACCACAGACCAATCGAAATGTAGGTGATCCCCTCATAACCACTGGGAAATCGAGGAAAGATATATTTCCCCACAATAACTTGAAACTTAAGGGTTTTTTCTCATTTTAACAAACATTTAAGTGCAGCCTCCGCAAAAATTTTCCCCAGAATGAGGAGGTTGGCGACCTATAGTGGTTATGTCAGTGATAAGTAGCCTCACACTGGGATTCGTGGTAAACTATTATTAAAGCAACTTACATTTTGGAAAGACACAACAAAAAGTGTTTTCATGCCATTGTCCATCAGCGGGAGGAAATAAACGGTCATCCAAAAGACGAACACCACGATAGCATCCTGAGTCGCCAGACCTGTACTTAAGTCCCGTGCAGTCTGGGAACTGAGCGGTTAATGTTGATAGTAAAAGAGTGTCATCATCTTCCAGAGGCACTTCGATTGGTTGGTCATCCTCGGTTTCACAAATCTTAACATATCTTGTTAGCTGCATCCTCACCGTAACCGAAACTGAAACGCGCGTAAAACGATAGAACGACGGGATATCCAATGATCAACATCTCGTGGTGAATTTTATAAACCAGTTGATTTTTTTGCTTGCCTCTTTGGTAATGAAACAGCAAAGTTCATTTGATAATCAGTTTTCTCTTTCACCTTTGTTAACTAATGTTCCGCACTCAACACCGCTTAGAGTGATCTTCTTACATTCGCTCAGCCAAGGTAGATTCAGATTTGTGTAGTAAGGACAGAAGGCCTACGGCCTATGTCATTCCTTTTCTAGTATGCTTCTGTGAGTGTCCAGTCTTCTCTTGAAAGAGTCAATTGAAGGTGCGGATACCACTGCTTCAGGCAGCAGGTTCCAAGTATTGATGACTCGGTGTGAAAACCTGTATGCCACGGGTATTTTGTTCGTTCTTGGCTTTTCTACTCGCCTGCTATGTCCTCTGAGGTGTCCCGATCTAGTGGGAAGAAAGAGAGAGAATAAGTTAGGTCCGAAATCATTTCTCAGTATTCTGTACATCGATATTAGATTTCCCCTTAGTCTGCGATAGGACAGAGTAAAGAGGTTCAGTTTTTCAAGCCGCTCTTTATATGATAAACCCCGGAGTTCCGGAATTGCACGCGTAGCTGCCCTCTGTACCTTTTCTAGTATGTCTGAGTCACCTTTTAAACAGGGGCTTGCAGCCTGAACACAGTTCTCTAACTTAGTTCTCACTAAGGATGTGTATAATGTAGTGAACATGGTAGTATCAAGCTTAGTGAATGTCCTTTTTAAAGCCCAGAGGGTTCGAAACCCCTTAACTGCGACCTCCCGGCAACGGGCCGTCGTCTTAAGATCATTGCTCACTGTCACCACTAGATCCTTATGAGACCGGACTACGGGTAATGACATCCCCTATGTTGTACGTATTAACCTTTGAATCCCCCAAATGCATGTAGACACACATTTCCGAGTTGATAGGCATTAGCCACTCTTTAGACCAGTTTATCATATTATTTAAGTCCGCCTGAAGAGTAAATGCGTCTTTGTCTCCAGTTATAACTCGCCAAATTTTTACATCGTCAGCGTATAATAACATTGGAGACTGTACTATACTTGTAAGATCATTAACGTACATTATAAAAAGTAAAGGACCTAGGACGGAACCTTGGGGTACTCCACTAAGTACTGGTCTCCAGATGGAGCACTTGGAATTTATTCTTACTATTTGCCTACGACCTACTAGGAAATTCTTAATCCATTTTAAAAGAGGTCCGGCAATACCAAGGTTTGCCAACTTCAATAGCAGTCTATTAGTTGGCACCTTGTCAAAAGCCTTACTGAAGTCTATGTAGACAACATCTACAGAGTTTCCGTTGTCTATCGCATTAATCCAGAGCTCCCTAGCTATAAGAAGGTTCGTTATACAGGATAGACCATGTTGTGCCATGTTCAGCAAGTTATTGGTTTCCATAAATGCTGTTATGGTCCGTTTGATTATCCTTTCCAGTATTTTAATTACAACACTGGTGAGGCTTACGGGTCTGTAATTTGATGGAACTTGTCGTAGACCAGTTTTATGTATGGGAGTGACGATTGCGTCCTTCCAGTCCATAGGTAACACACCATGGTCAAGTGACATTTTGAATATCACAGTCAGTGTGGCTGCGATATATTGTGCAATATGTCTCAAGATTTTAGGGTGTAGTTCATCTGGTCCTGTTGACTTCTCCATGTTTAGGGTGCTAAGAGCCTTAAGCACATCGTTTTGGTCGAAGTCCACGGTGAGCAGCTGGTTTGTTGACTCTGTAATTGGGTCTGGTTTTTTCTCTAGAGGAGGTTCCTGAGTGAAAACTGCCCCAAAGTAGTCAGCCATAACCTCAGCATTTTCCTGATCTTCCTCTATCATTTCAGATTCACTTCCTACTTTAATTAGGTTGGGAATCCAATGATGAATCCGTGTTCTGTAGTTTATGTACGAGAATATCCTCTTGGGCTGCTTGAGTGCAGATTCTGCCAGCTGCATTTCATATTTTGTTTGCGCTTCCCGAATTTTAGTTATACACTCGTTTCTTATCGATCTGTAGCGTTCCATCGTACCTGCTGTGCCAAGGCGGATGGCAACGTTCCAGCATTTCTTCTTTTGTCTTTGCAAGCGTCGAATATCCCGCCCTATCCAGGGATGTCCGTGCTTCTTTTTTTTGAGACAGTCCAGGGTATGTATGGTTGAGTTACCCGATTGTATAACTGCCTGAATAAAGTCCATGCCTCTTGTACTGATGCCTTTGAGTCAATTTCCCAGTTCTCAGCCGATGCTGCGGAGTTAATTGCCTGCATATCTGCCTTCCATATGTTAGGACAGGCCGGCGCAACTAGAAATCGGGTCATATTGTGCCAGTTTTCGAAGGAGCTCAACGCAGTCAAACTTCAAGCTACAAGCCGGTAGAACTTCTCTCAATATCCTCAAAAATTATGGAGTTCCTGATATACGAAGCTGTGAGCGTTTACGTACCTTCTATTTATTTCTTTTCAACCCAACAGCACGGTTTTAGAAAAGGTCACTCTTGTATAACCAACCTGCTGACGGCGGTAGGCAGATACACAACCATTCTTGATCGCAAGAGGAAGGTCGATGTCATATACCTTGATTTCTCGAAATCTTTTGATAGGGTCAATCATGTATAGAGCAATCAGTCCTTTTGATAAGTTTCGATGGCGTAATAAGAAGACAAAGATTATCAATACATTTCGAACAATCTGATCACAGATATGCTTGGTAAGAACATATATATAAAAATAAAAGGTCAACTAGACTAGAAATGTAGGGTAAGAGGAGACGAGGATAATAAAGAAATAATGAGAAAACAATTTGAAACCTCATCATCTTGGATAATAGGCTCATATTACCGAGTAATGTTTAAGGTGAGCACAAACTGTTTTTGAATACACAGAAGAGCCTTGAATTTTCGTATGGATAAGGCTTCAATAAACCTTAGTATATGCTCTTTTACACTTTTGTACAAAACCACAAAAGCCGAAATGAGATCAGTCTTATTGCCCGTTTTAATTATGTGTTTGGCAATAGGAGATAATGGATGTTTATCCCCTACCTTTATTGGGTTGATGATGTCACAGGTATTCAGTGTTTGACAACGCTTCTACCAGTAACACCTAATATGATTTGTACCCACCGAGAGAAATCAAAAGACAGAGTCGAGGAGATCGGAAGAGTGTATTTGGTGATAACCAAAATATCGGAATTCTCCTATCTAATCTGACTAGCGATTGCGGTTGATGTTGAGCACGGCGTTACCACACGTGATTTGGTGCGGATGCCTGACCGAGCGCCTTCAGCTAGATGAGTCCACCAAAACATATGGTCAGCATCCAATGTCGAAAACTTAGAGCTACTTATTTTGGGGATTTATGTACCGCTACAGATCACTCCCCCCTAGTGGGGCAGTGACGACCTTAAGACGTGGCCAGCCAGAAGTTTAAACCCAACAAGTCTGTCGTTGGTAAACACTCTTCTGATAGCTTACTAAGTTTAGCAGCGTCTGGTCGTCTTTCCTTACGATATGGGACTGAGGTACAACATAGTAAAAAAAGAAAAAGTTACAATGAAAATTTCGACTCCTCGTAAACTGCATCGTTCTTTTCCAACCGTCCTGGAAAAGAAAAAAGAAAATGTAGGTGCATGTCGAAATACACTCGTATGTGCGTAAAAAACACAATGTCGGCGAAAAAAAGGAAAATAAACTCAAGCACACGTAATAGCGTTAAAAAAATATTTTTTTTAAAATGAAAATATAAATATATAGGCATATTAAAATTGTTTTTTAAAAATATTATATATCGTAAAAAGAAAGATCGAGATAATATAAAATGTCGAGTAGTGCCTTACGTGCAGTAGTCGTTTAAATGTTCTGGAAATCTTACTCTTCTTCCAGAACGCGTCGTTTAAGGTTTATTTTCAGATACATTCGGAGTATCATCGCTAGTGTTGGTTGCCGGTTGAGGAATTATGAGTGTAGGAGTCGTGTTGTGCGATCGCACCGAAGGAAAGTCGACGTGAATAGGATTTCCTTCTAAATACGCTGCTTCTAAGAGATCGATGCTGATGCTATCGTTTGTTCCGTTCTTATCGACTATATAGTACTTAGATTCACGTTGAAGAACTTTGAAAGGTCCTTCGTATGCTGATACGAATGGTCGTCGATGCGAGTCTTGACGAACGAAAACGTGTGTACTATATCGTAAGTCAGGTTGAACGAAAACATCAGTTGATTGAGGTCGAGTGGAAGCAGGTTTAACTGAACGCATTGTGTTTGTAAGCCTGTTCGTGTAGGAGGTTAGATCCATGTTCATTGAAGAGGATGAAGGATCCACGAATTCTCCTGGAAGTCGAAGTGTCGTTCCATAAACGAGTTGAGCCGCAGTGTATCCAATGTCAGCTTTCACTGCATTGCGGATACCTAGTAAGACGAGTGGAAGAGCATCGGTCCATTGTGAAACGTTTGCAGCTGATAGTGAAGCTTTTAGTTGTCGGTGAAAGCGTTCTACCAACCCGTTTGCTTGTGGGTGGTAGGCAGTCGTTCGAAAGCGAGTGGTTCCTCAAAGTATGGTCAGACGACGGAAAAGTTCAGATTCAAACTGACGTTCGCGATCTGTAGTGATGGTTGAAGGGCAGCCAAAGTTTGCTACCCATCGTTCGACGAAGGTGCGAGCCACTGTTTCAGCAGTGATGTCCTTCATAGGTACTGCTTCTGGCCATCGAGTGAAACGGTCTACGCAGGTTAAGAGATAAGAGTATCCATTTGAATCTGGTAAAGGTCCTACCAAATCCAGATGAACATGGTCGAAACGAGCATCGGGAGTTTTAAACGAGCCTAAGGGACATTTATTGTGTCTGATGACCTTAGATTTTTGGCAGCTTACACAGGAGCGTGCCCACTCCCTCACGTCTTTATTCATTCCAGGCCAGCAGAACCTTTCTGCTATAAGCTTGATGGTTGCACGAACACCTGGATGAGAAAGTTTGTGCAATGTGTTGAAGACATTGCGTCGATA